TATACCCAGGTTGAATTAGTCGACTTGGGGAAATAGTTCCTGCAGAAATAGGGGGAGCCCCTGGCTGCTTGGCTGCTGTGGTTATGAGACCTATGGGTGGACAGTATGATATGCTCTGGTGAGCAGACAGAAAAATTTGCCTCCATTACCATGCACTCGTCCCTGAGGCAGCGGCTACAGAACAGCCGCAGGTATGCACAAGGGCCAGGTAATCAGTCCTTAATGGAATGGGTGAACGCAGCTGCCCAAACCATGTGGGGGAATGCTGAAGAACTGCCCAAGATTTTAAGTGGCAAACATACTGAGTTGGTTCAAATAATTCGGGAGCTCGGGATGCGGCAGTCCATGTTTAATGTGAACACAGATGGCCCAGACCATGAAAGTTTTACAGGCAGCATGAAAGACACAGTGCTGCAGAATGCCTCGACAACGTCCTTTGGATTGCTGACGGCCATACTGGCCCCATACACTGGTCGTCCTACACATGAAGTAATGACCATGATAGCTAGCCTGGGTGAAGTAGAGAAGAAAAGACAAGCAAAAGGGGTCTGAAAGGTGGCTAAAATCAAACCCCCAAGAAATGCTCGGGATTTTATCCCAAGGGGACCAAGCAAGACTAGCCGTAAGCAGATCTGGCTTGACTTGCTTACAGCCAGGGGTTGATAAAGAAAATTGACCGGCAGCCAAATGCAGTTCTGTTTGCCTTGTGGCAACAATTGCACCCTGAACAGTGTTTCACTAAATGTTCGGAAACAGGTAGCAAGGTACACTCAGTGGATTTAAGGGATTTTTTAGTTGCTCCCACAGAGGCAGATGAACTGTTCCGTTTTGATTAGGAAGCAGGCCAAGGTGCTCGTCTTTCTGGGGGTGGGCAAAGACTGGAGGCCTCATGTTGAACTGGCAAGACGCTGGTCAACGACAGATGTGCAGCAGCTCTAGAGAGCACAAAAGCTGAAAACCGTGGTGGCGGCCACGTTGAGTCTGCAGGGCTGGTGGAACTTTAGAGCAGTGGAGGCGTGGCAGCCTCCACCCAGATTTTGGAAGACGTATGAAAAAGCCAGGGAACTCGGGCAGAGACCTGCTGCAGGGGTGGAGCTGCTGCAGAGGGCATCTACATGGTGGGACTGCCACCAGGAGCCCAGACCTGTGGGGCTGCTGGCAACGTGCAAAAACGGCCTGGAAAAACTGCAAGCACCAGGGCAGCTCAACGGGCTGCACCTGGAGGAACTGGAGGAGCAAGGCTGCTCAGTGCTTTGGGGGCCCAGATGCCCGACTGTACTTAATGTTTACCCCGTTGGGTTTTGGATTTGTTTGGGGCCTGTTTTTCCTTTCTATTCCTCCCTTTTGGAAGAGGAATGTGTACCCAGCATCTGTCCCACTGTACCTTGGAAGTAGATGAATTTGCTTTTGATTTTTACAGGCACACAGCTGAAAGGAATTCTGCCTTTATTCTCAGATTGACTTTGGACTTTTGAGATGGTGCTGGAGCAAGCTAAAGACTTTTGGAACTGTTGGGATGGAATGTGTAGTATGTAAATGTAAGGGTCATTTATCCTCGCTAAGGGAACATCCCGGAAGATTTTGAATGCATAGGGATCCTGAAGGGGTATATTGTTGGGAAAACATAGGAAAATGGTCAGGGCCCCTCAGATGTTCAGAATCTTGCCGAGCATTTGCTGTAAATACCCATGTACGCCCAGGTGTTCTTTGGTTACTACCTAATGTTATTGCGTATGGGCACCCAGGTGTCCCGGGTTAGGGACCTAAGTATAAAGAACTAATGGCTCGGATACATGGCGCTTCTCAGGATGCTCTGGCCCACGTACGCCCAGGTGTTCTTTGGTTACTACCTAATGTTATTGCGTATGGGCACCCAGGTGTCCCGGGTTAGGGACCTAAGTATAAAGAACTAATGGCTCGGATACATGGCGCTTCTCAGGATGCTCTGGGAAGCCAGTAGGGCGGGTGCTCTTAGCTCTAAATATAAGCCTATTAATTTTTACCCACGGCTCCCAGAACCTTTTCCTATTACCTAGCTTGTAGACCTCCATGTGGAGGGTTTTTGACCCAGTCTGTACAACGGGCTCCAGGGGTCTGTGAGCCCAAGCCCTAACTTTACAACACCTCAAAGGAATAACCAGAAAGCATTAACCAGGACAAGCAAGGGTTCCCAAATCCATTCAGTTCAAACTCCTCTCCCTATCACTTCACTGGAACTACTCAATAAGGTCAGCAGCTCCCTCCATTACACCAAAGTCAATGGTCTCTTGTCTGTCCTCATCTTTTTGTAGCTCTCAGCAGCAGCTAACACAGGTGCCCACCCCCTCCTCCTTGAAACACTTGCTTCCACGAAACTACACATTTCTGATTCTCCCTTATGTCCGTGCCTACTTCTTTCTTCTTTGCTGGCTTCTCCTACTCCTCTTGGGGAGAATGTAAATAAATGTAGACTACTTCAGGTCCTCAGCCCAGTTCTCTTCTCTGTTCAGAGTTTCACATAGTATGATTTTTACTTAGTCCCAGGTAATGATAGTGACTCCACCTGCAATCTCCATACTGGTATACACACAACTGCTTACTACTATGGAAAAATAAAGCAAGAAAAGGAAACAAGAAGTGTTGGGGAGGACTATAACTTTAAGCAAAATAACATTTCCACTTGACATTTATTAGAGCTTCAAACCTTCAGCGTCAAGACTAGAACTTTTGATTCTTTTTGCTCACTACCTTCTCCCTCCCCACCCCCAATGTGCTCCTCTTCAATTCTCCATTTCACTTACCAGCACCACCACTCACCCCGTTGTTCAGAGTCATGACTGAAGAGTTCTCACCACTGCTTCCTTTCCTTCACCTCAACTCCTCTCTACCACCATCCAATCCATTAGCAAGTTCCATTGGCCCTATCTCCTGAATCCCACCGTGTCTTAGCATCTCCTTTGCTACCATCTGAGCCCCAGCCACCAAAGTCTCTCACTTGGACTACCTAACCGTTCCCACTCATATCCTCCCCCACTATGGTCATTTGCCACACAGCAGCCCAGTTTAAAACCCGACAGTGACTTTCACCAGCACTAGAATAAAACCCAAACTTCCTACCTTTACTACAAGACTACCTCTCCAGCCTCATCCACCCCCTCCCCCCGTCCACTCAGCATACTACAGCCCCACCTGTGCCTCTTCTAGGCCTCCAAACTGCCAAGTGCATACCCATTTGGGGACATTTGCACTTTCTGTTCCCTCAGCACTGAAGTCTTCCCCCATATTTTCACATAACTGGCTCCTTTTCATCATTTAAGTTTCTGCTCAAATATCACCTCTTGTAGACAGGCATTTCCCTGAAGGCTTTAACCAAAACACTTTCTCTGAATACTTTCTCCACAGCAGCTCTCCTCCAGTCCCTCACCACTCAAAGCACTTTTTATTATCTGAAATTGTCTTCTCATGTGCTCACTTGTTTACTATCCTTTTCCCCAACAGGGAACTTTGTCTGACATGTTCACCACGCATCCCAACACTTAAACAGAACTGCCTGCACACAGTAACTTCTCAATAAATGTGCAGAATGAAGGAACAAAATGAGAAAGATCATATTGTGTGAAGAACAATTAAAAGAAAAGGAGTTACTTAAACCTGAATTTTGAGAAGAAACTAGTCACTGGCTCCAAATTTTTCAGGGGCAGACACATGGGAGGAGAGCTATATTCTGTTTTCCAAGGGCAGGACTCCGATCAACGGTGGCATGCTACAAAGCAGCAGGGGTTTTTTTTTGGTTTTTTTTTTAAAAGATGACCGGTAAGGGGATCTTAACCCTTGACTTGGTGTTGTCAGCACCATGCTCACCCACTGAGCAAACCGGCCATCCCTATATGGGATCCGAACCCGGGGCCTTGGTGCCATCAGCACCGCACTCTCCCGAGTGAGCCACTGGGCCGGCCCTACAGCAAATTTAATTTAAACCTCATTTGGCTTTATTGTGATTCTACAGTCGGGAAACACTTCATACTATAAAATAGAATAAGTGTTCCAATGAACCAAGCAGAGGCGGTGATCTTAACCCTTGACTTGGTGTTGTCAGCACCATGCTCACCCACTGAGCAAACCGGCCATCCCTATATGGGATCCGAACCCGGGGCCTTGGTGTTATCAGCACCACACTCTCCCGAGTGAGCCACGGGCCGGTCCAAAGCGGCAGGTTTTAAAACCATTTTCTAACAAGTACAGAGTCTCGAATATGAGCTTCTGCAAAAGTTTCCTCTCACTAGAAGTGATTGGGCAGAGGCTTGATCACCACTTACAAGAAATTAGAAAACAAGCTTCAGAGCGTAGGTGTGTGACGCTGAATAAGCCAAGCTTCCCCTTGCTGGATCTCAGTCGCATGTTTTAAACACCAGAGGACTGGAGGACAATTACTAATCTGTCCAATCCCCTTCAAATTCTAATCTTCGGGCCGGTTAAAAAAACAAACAAAAAAAAACCCCTCTAATGTTCTAAGACCATAGAATCAAGTTCAGCAAAGATCAAAAATACTTCTCTCTACAGTAAATAAATTCTGCAAGTGCAAAGTCTGCATCTCTCTTGTTTACTGCTGTATCCCTAGGACTTGGCATATGATAGGAATTCAACAGTTGACGAATGAGCATTAAAGTGGGTGAGAGATGTCTGCCAACCAATCTGTCCACGTTTTCCTCATCGGTGTGAAAGCGACTGTGAACATCCACAGAAGCCCAAAGGGACGCGTCCTGTGTCCTAGAGAACTTTAAAAAGTTCCTGCAAAGTTCACCGACCCTGCTCACCCCTCGGTCCAGCTTCTAGCGTGGTGCCAGCAGCGTCCTCATCCACCAGCGCCGACAAGCGCCCCAGAGCACTGTCACTCGCCTCTGCGCCTCCCCGAGTCGGGGCCTGGTCCAGGCCCAGCTAAAACAGAAGCCAGGGACAGTGCCGAGGAGAGGGGCGGAAGACCCCGAAGAATTCCAGGGTGAGGGGGCTCGGAAATGACTCACCTGAGGAAGGGACTTGCCGCAACTGAGACTGTAAATCTTCACCTCGTTGAGGCTTGAGACCTGCATGGCGGCGTCGACCCGGTCCCAGGCCGGGCTCCTCTTCCACCCGTGCGCACTCAAGCATCCTAACCCCGGGTCCTCCGGGCGCTGCTCCACGGCGTGCGGCAACTGGCGCTGGCTGATGACGCACTTCCGGGCGCCGGCAAGCGCGCACGTTCCCGGAAGAGCGAAGCTGGCAGAATCCGGGAAGGGAAGCGGCCGCGAGGGGTACGAGTGAGGTTCTGGCGAGGCGACGTGGACTGGCGGCGACGCTGGTACGGGCAAGGCCAGGTGCCGCTCTCCCTCCTCTCAACACCCCGAGCGGCAGGAAGTGGCCTTCGGGTCGCGCGGTCCCGGGCGGGAGCCGAGCGGTTCAGCGAGAGAACCCAGCGAGCGGGATGGCCAGGGTGCGAGGTCGGAGTGGAAGTGCGATCATCTCTCTCCTCCGGCGTTTCTGCAACACGACACTGGGAATAAGCTTGTGCCCGGTTAGGTCAGTTGGTTAGAATGTGGAACCCAAGGTCCAGGGTTCCACCCCTGTACCGGCCAGCCACCAAAAAAAAAAAAAAAACTAAAACCTTAAAATTTGGTGTATTAAAAAGATGTTATTTTCATCTGGGTTTGTTTGCCATTAATCCTCTAACGAAGGTAATAAAAGAAAAAGCAAACTAAAAAAGAAAAGGCAAGTAGTAAAAGAAGGGGTAAGGAAAACGTGTATTTGAACCTGATGTCCTTTGAGACGAGTGTGATACGGAAGGACAGACACAGCCCCTCGTACGCATCGTTTTCAGAAAGCTGCCGCAAGCTTTCTGTTGATCGTTCCATTACGTAGAGAACCACCTTTACTGTTGTCTAGGTCTGAGGACTTGAGAATTCTTGACTTAGCTAAATGTGGCACTGCAGGGAAAAGTGTAAGCTAACTGCAGAAACAGGTCCTTTTGAAATTGGAACATGGTAACCACTTCCCTTACTAAGTAAGCAGCCCTTGCATTTTTCCAATAGTTTGGAAAGAGGAGCCATTTAAATGTCCAGTGCCTCAAAATATCCACGATAATCCCGCTACTCTATATTGCCTGATTAATTTAGCCCTTACTTTAGGGACAGTGGCATAGCTTGAAATAACTTAGTACGTGGTGCCTCACATCAAAAGGGGTTTCAAAAGTCATTTAATTTTTTAGAACTAGAGACAGCTCTGGTCTCCAGACCCCAGTTCCTTACTGCCTATTTGAGTATCACCGGGAGTGCTTACCAGCCCCCAGATTTAGCATGTCTGTGACTAAGTCCCTTAACAACTCGCGATATTCTACTGCGCATTTGTTCTTGGTTAATAGCATTACTGTCTGCACAGCCACCTAGGCTAGAACCATACTTTTATCTTCAACCCATTCAAATCTCTGGCCCCCACATTCAGTATCTAAACCTTGACATTTCTAATTCTGAAGTATTTCTTAAAAACTCTTTGGAAACTCAAATACCAACATTACATTGCATCTGAATTAGGATGAGAGTTCTCCATGGACTGTGTCATTTGTCTTTATATTCTCTGCCCTCCACATTCATCACTACCCAGTACCAAAATAGTGTCTGGCCTGTACTGTATTAGGCATTGCTACATGTTTACATGTAAATAGAGATAAGTTCTTAAACTCTGTCTTCTGCCCTCAAATTCAGGATCCTCCATGAACTAGTTTTTAATTTGCTTGCACTGGGTATAGTTAAGGAAAACAACCGATAAAAGTAATTGGGAAAAAACGAAATGGCAGAAAAAAAAAAAAAAGAAAAATATATAAAGAGAGCAAAACAAACAAAAATAGATAAATAATAAATGTCATTGGGAAAGGTAGCATAATAGAAGGCTTAAGATCACAGTCTGGGGCCGGCCCGGTGGCGCACTGCTATAGTGCACCGCTTGGGAAGCGCGGCGGCGCTCCCGCCCGGGGGTTCGGATCCCACATACAGACCGGTTCCCGCTCACTGGCTGAGCGAGGCGTGGGAGCAACACCGAGGGTTGCAATCCCGTTGCCGGTCCCCGGTCCGGTACGGGGGCAACACTGAGGGTTGCGATCCGTTGCCGGACACGGAAAAAAAGACAAAAAAAAAAAAAGATCACAGTCTGAAGCCAGACTGGCGAGGTTCAAATCCTGACTGACATTTTTAGCTGACTGAACTTAGGTAAATTTCTTAACTTCTCTGTGCCTGTGTACAATGGAAATAACAATAGTATGCACTCCACATAGAGTGATTATGAGGGTGAAATACGTTCATATTTGTAAAGTGTTTGGAACTCAGTGCCTGACACATAGTAAGTACCATGTGAATGTTTGTAAAATAAAACTAGAAGTGGAAAGCAGGAGGGGAAGAGGGAGGGGGGTTAATGAAAAATTGGTTAACGGACACAAAGAACGATTACATATTGTAATTATGAAGAAGCTAACTATCCTGATTTGACCATCACATATTGTACACAAGTATTAATAGTCAACTTTGTACCCCACAGGTATGTTTAATCATTTATGCCTCAATAAAAAAAATTTGTGGTAATCGTTACACAAAGTATATCATATCGCATTGTATATCTTGAATATGTACAATTATTATTTGTGAATTATATCTCAGTAAAGCCAAAAAAGTTATAAATTGGAAGTAAAAAATTTCCAAAAAGATATGACAGCCACAACCAAGAGAAACCTAAAGAAACATGACACAACTAAATGTAATGTGGTATCCTGGATGGTATCCTGGCTCAGAAAAAGGACATTAGAATGAAGATGTAGGATACCAGACCTTTCTCCATCAACCTATTTTGAGTCTAAAAGATGTCAACAAATTTTGAAATGAAATCTTACTCAGAAGTCTGATATATAAAATAGAAATGCCAGGGCCAGCCCGTGGCTCACTTGGGAGAGTGCGGTGCTGATAACACCAAGACCACGGGTTCGGATCCCATATAGGGATGGCCGGTTTGCTCACTGGCTGAGCGTGGTGCTGACAACACCAAGTCAAGGGTTGAGATCCCCTTACCGGTCATATTTAAAAAAAAGAAAGAAAAAGGGTCCGCTGATCTAATCCTTTTATTTTACAGTTGAGTCTTGAATTTTCTACCTTGGATATTTGAGGACTTTGAATGTCATCAGGGCTGAAAGTACCACCTTCCTATCGAGGCTCTGAAAAAGAATTTCTAAGGTTGACAAAACAAACAAAAGCCCAAGTTGTTTCTCTGGTACTTATTAACCTGAAAACAGGGGCAAATGCTATTTCTTTTCCATTGTCTTGTGCCTAGTGGTGTTGAACACACACTTGGTGCTCAAGCATATTGTGTCAATCTAATAGACCTTTCTCATTATATAGCTGAGCAAGCAAGAACACTATAAAGCAAAGATATTTAAGTTTGTGTGTACATGTAATAAGAATACTAAATGAAGAATAAGAAGAAATGATATAGTAATAAAATAACAATTTTTTAAAAAATGCCATATAGCTAAATAAATATCCAAATTCCATTAGCATTTCCTTTTTTAACAGTTTTGTTGAGGTATAATTTAACATACCATAAAATTCACCCATTTAATGTACAGTGCAATGACTTCTAGTATATTCACAGATTGTGCGACCATCACCACAATCAATTTTAGAGTATTTTCCTCATCCCAAAAAGAAATCCTGTCCCCATTGGCAGTTACTCCCTCCCCATCCAGGCCCTAGGCATCCATTAGTCTACTTTCTGTTAGAGTTTTTTATAATGTGATTTTCAGCTTTATTTTCATAATTTCTTGCATTATATATAGTACTAAACATCATTAAATCAAACACATTTGCTTCATTCAACAAGGGTCGGGATTACCTTTGCTCAGTTGTAATCTATAGCAGCAGCCTGAAAACATAACCGAGGTGGGTCATTTTGAGCAACAGGCTATATTAGATCAGTACATGGTGGGGTAAGGACTTCTGGGCCTAGCAATTGTGTTTCTATTATACCTGTCCTTAAAGCCCCCGTCCTTCTGCCTGAGACTTTCTTCAAGGAAATATGCAGGCCTGCCATCCTACTTGGGGAGGCAGTACGTCACGATAGGATAATCCCATGCTTCATAGTGATAATAAGCCTCTTAAACAAGTCATAAAAATAGAAAACATTTATTTTCCAAAATATGCAGGATTGTTTTCAAGAAATCTTGAGCAATTTTACACACACACGCAATATTTTATTACTCAAGAATGTATTGTAAAAGCCCATTGACTGTAAAATACTTAGAATGGTGTGATGAAGTGCTTGTAAGTGTTACGTATAAAAGTTCTAGATAGATCCCACTCCTAAATTATCAAAGTTCAAACCATTTCGCTCTACTTCATTCAATGCTGTTTCCCACTGACCCTCCACTTGTCTCTGCTTCATTAGCACTGGAGTCATTGTTCTGGGTTTGAATCTTTGCCTGTGTGGGTCTGGACTCGAGAATGTCCTCCCCATCTCCTCCTATCCAAATCCCACCAGCTCCCCCTTTTATTCAAAACTCACTTTTGGAATATTTCGCTCATTCTCCTATAGTTCCACTGCACTGTATAAATACCTTTATGGCAGTTCTATCTTTTTTCTGACTGGTACGTTTTTGTTACCAAAATACACAGTAATTTAAAACAGCCTGCAAGTACAATACAATGAACTCAAGTGTAATGCTACATTAGATGTGTGGCTTGGCAGTTTCCTTCAGACACTATGCTTTCCTTAAGCCACCACATCACCTCAAGGCTAATTAAAGTGTCGTTTTTTTTTTTTTTTTTTTTTTTTTTTTTTTTTTGGCCGGGAAGGGGGGGCCAACCCTTGGTTTGGGTGGCCCCCCCCCCCCCCCAAGGTTAATTAAAGTGTGGGTTTTTTTTTTTTTTTGTCTTTTTTGTGACCGGTAAGGGGATCGCAACCCTTGGCTTCGTGTCGCCCGCACCACGCTCAGCCAGTGAGCGGGAACCGGTCTGTATGTGGGATCCGAACCCTCGGGCGGGAGCGCCGCCGCGCTTCCCAAGCAGCGCACTATCCAGTGCACCACCGGGCCGGCCCCC